AGTTTATTGTTGTTTTTTTCGGGTGGTACGAGCATGCTTTCCAAGGTTTTTTTCCTACCGATTTTATTGTGGGTGGCCTCGATATTTTTTTGCACATGGTGGTTTGATTTTTTGATATGCAATGATTGCAGGGAATGGACGAAGTGAAACGGCAATCTGTGGAGCATCAAGTGTGGGAGCTGGAATGGGAAACGGCATTTAATATCCAGCTCAGAATACAAGACATTCTTGGCTATGTGATAGCATGGGCTGCAGCCGATGTAAATAGTTGAACGTTTTTACTTGGCTTTCGAAATGGTTGTTCATACTTTATTTAGAGAGTCACACATCGCCGATTATTACTGCAGTGCCTGGATGCGTTGAATTTGCATCCGCCATCGTCTTTGGAAGAACCAGCTGGAGCCACTCATACAGTCGTTGATGGTAGGTTTGTGAAAGTCGAGACTATGTTTTTACTTACATAAGATACTACAAGTGATTGTTTGCTGTCCTCTATTTTTGCAAATTTGAACTGATTTCTCCCCTTTTTAGTAAATGGAGAGTCTACTGTGGTTATCCCATTTGATGTGCTTCGTGGAGCTGTTTCTATACATCAACCTCTTTGGCGACTGACTGCTGGTCTCTTCACAGCCAGCGAAGACCAGCTCCGTTTCTTAGTATCTACGAATGTCTCTTCCCTGTCAGATGAGGAAATCGCGATACGGCAGCAGATGAGGAAGATGGCGAGTACGTTGTATGAAATGCCACTAAGGTATGTTTTGATCTGCTAGAAATTCTGGCGAAAAAGATAAAAATATTTTTGTAGAGCACTCGTTTTGTGCGCGCAAGCCTCGGCTCAGTTATGGCGGCGTAATGGCTTTTCGTTGGTGAATCAGATACACAATTATTACTCTCCACTTTGTCGTGCAGAGATGTTTGATCGCGATCTGCTAATGATGCAGGTCTGTTTACAATTTTTTATATGTTGATTTTGGGCTCCAAAGAACTTCTTGGGTCCAGGCCTTGGTATGTTTTTTTTAATCTCAGCATAGATAGGGAATCAAGGAGCACCTGTGATTCGAAGAACTTGTATTTTTTT